ATATATATATACTTATAGGAAGAAAAAAAAAGGTGTATATATACCAGCAATGAATTATATACAATTTTGTACAAACTAAATATGCAAGTTTTGTTTTGAGAGAGAGAGAGAATGAGAAAAGTTAATAAGCTAATAAGTCAACGATGAACAAAAAAAAATTTATTTGAAGAGTATTTTCAATTTCTAACTTATAAGACTAACTTAGAAATTTGTTTAACATTATTTAAAACAATATTTTAGATTGTAACATATATTTTACTTTTACTCTTAGCAATCTAATAAAAATCTTCATCTACCGTCCTTTTCAATATTACAGTACTTATTTTAATAAAACTCCTCATTTGATATCATACGATGTAAACTGTTTCAGTTTTACCAAATACTTCTATTTCAATAAATTAACTAATAATTTTAATTAAAAATAAATTTTCGACCTTCAATTAATTTTGAAACATAAGTACAATTATTCTATTTGTTTAAATGTAATAATAATAATACAGATTATCAACTTCATTCGCGAATACTGAAATTCACGTCCCTTAATTAAGTGACTAAAAAATAAAAAATTCATAAATTAAATTAATTTATACATAAAATAGTTTATAAAAATTTTGTCTATATAATTTTAAAAAAAAACTTTTTAATTAATATATAAATTAATTTTACTTTATAAAAAAATATATTTTTTTTCCTTTTCCTTTACCAAAACAAAAGAAAAAACATACTTATGGGTTTATAACACCCCCAATAAACCCGTGAAAAACATTGCCCAATGCAATATCAAGTTAAAAACTAATCTCATATTCTCACGCAAAAGCTCCGTAAATGGTAAAAGATTTTGTATACCCTTAACGATAAATAAATATAAAAAATTCTATTACAAATATATCTTGCATGCTAATTATAAAACAGACACGAAGATGTAAACACTGAACAGAACAAATTTTTTTTCTTCTTTAATGCTACTATAATGACTTACTTTTTTATATACAACAAAAATAAAACTGCAGGCTTAACCTCTATTGATGAAGATTCTCACAAAGTATCCAAAATCTTTCAATTTCATTTCTTTGTAATTTTCTCAATTCCAATTCCTTTCTGCCAAATCTCCAACATATTCATTTTTCCCTTGATATGTGAAACTCACAAGGTTCACATGGACCAAACTTCACGTAGGAGTTGATATCTAGCATTTGTGGTGGGGTGCACTTTGTGATTATTACCTTTTCCATTATCAGTGACTGTTGGAGATGAAGGAAGCTTATCAATGATGGATGTAAGAGGGGAATCAAGTTCCTCTAGCTCTTCATCACTGGTGTATCCTCTCCTCTGAACAGCTGATACGTTTCTTTCCAAGTGAGACTTTCCTCCAGCCTCTGCAACTTTCTCTGCCACGTTAGCAGAGGAGGGTGGCATGTACACAACAGGAGCAGCCACATAAGGGAAGCTTCTTACAGATTCTGTGGACAATCTTCGCTCTATAATAGTCTGAAGATGAAGCAAATAAAATTCAGTAAATTAGTTTCCGGAATTACTGTGCTATTAAAGTAGAGTAGAAAGTTACATAACATATACTCCAAGAAATTGCATTGCATTCAAGCCATTATCTTATCAATTTCATAATATAAGTATTCATTCTGTCCTAGCTAATTCAACTTGGTTGTTGAAGTCAAAGTGTGACGAGAGAAACCAAAATTAAGGGTTAAACATCTTTTTTCTCTCATAAATATGTAAAAGTTCATTTTTATCCCTTATTTTTATTCAACTTTTGATCTTCCTTTTTTTAAAATATATAAAATTTTATCCTCATCACAATTCTGTTAATCTAATTTAATGATGACTTTAAATTGACATGTGTATGACGTGTTTGGTGACTAAACATCACTGCTAAATAAGATTAAATAAATTAAGATAAAAATTTAACACATTTTAAAATAGAGAGGACCAAAAGTCAATGCTTTAAAAATGGAAGACTAAAAACAAACTATTAGATATTTATATGGAAGAAAAAGATGTTTAACCCAAAATTTAATTACCAGGTTGGTGTTCTAACATACCATAAAATAACAATTGAATTTTCATTCAATTTGCTTGGAGCAACTCTTAAGCTGTTAAATCTAGCAACAAATGTATAATTTATGAACAGCTTAAAAACGAAAGTGATAGTATACCTCTGCATTCAGGGCCTCCAAGACAGTTCCTGGAACAGGGTCAGGACAGAACTCATCCGGAGTGAAGTTACACAAAACCCGAATAACCAATGAAAGACTGATGGATGGACACACCTATATGTTCAAACAATAAAAGCTATGATTATCATTAGAGACAATGACAAACCAACAAAAAGAGTGAACGTGATATGCAATGCAACAGAAGAAAAGGGTATTTAATTCATGAAACTAACCTCCTGTCTGATTTGTCTATCCATAAGCATGTCCTTAGGTAGCATGAGAAGGTCACTCAAGTCATTAAGGAGAACAAAAGATTTAGGTTCACGATCTCCACCCTGGCTTTCGTCATTCTCACTGCTTTCCTGATCTTCTTGCAGACATTCTTCAGCATCCATGCCAAACATGTCAGTAAGCCATCTAGACCAATTGCCAACCTGCAGTTCAAGTAGCTCTTCCATAAGCATAACTTTCCTACATGATGTATCCTTCATACTCCAAAATAGTCACATGACTTGTGTCAACTATGCAATAAAACCCCCACATTTTATTAGTATCATTCTTTTCAAGTTCACCATTTTGAGTGGCTTTGGACATTTCCACAAAAATGAGGTCTAAACTGCAAGGCAGCCTCAGTATAAAATCACAAATGCATACAACATGATATCATCTAAGCAAATCTTTTAAGATTGTGTACAAGTTTATCTGAAAAACCACCATTTTTTTTCCTTTTCCAACGAAAGAAACCACATAAAGTAATCAACTAATGCTAGTCAGATCAATTGAACAGATAAACCAAAACAATACTCGTGGGAAAAAAAAAATTTCTTGTGCACCAGATATCTGCAGATGTCCATGTCAGATGATTGAATAGGTACCTACAAGTTTTAGTTTTAACTAAAGCAGGTTGTCCAAGTTATACAAAGTAAACATGCTCAGCAGATAAAATCTCATTGTTGTTTTCTTAATTTTATAAGCAAATTTTTCAAAAGCTTCCATCAAGAACGTGCTATAGAAATTCAAATACTCAAATTAGACTTTAGATAATGTGTGACCACCAAAGCAGTAACAAGGGGGGAAAATACATACAGAATTTTTTAGCTGTGCACCAGACCCAAAGCTTAAATCTCCAGCTGGAATTGGCAAAACCTTAGAATCCACAATAGGGTCTGATATCGGATCAGTTGGGATCTCAAGGGCTGACTCCCGAAGAATAGCATTGAACATAGCAACATCTAGTCTAGCAATGCACTGTTCCATGACCTGGAGACAGAATTTAAAACTACTTAATCATAAGCAGAAGAAAGGGAAATTATAAACATTTTCAAGAATGGAAGGGTATCGTTAAGAATAAAAAAGCACACCATTCTAGCCAAAACAGGCAAACAACCACACTCATGCCCTCCTGCTCGAACAGGACAGAGTCGTTGAAAAGCATCTTGGAAAGCATTTCTCCAGAGATTGACAGAAAAGTTTCCTTGGTTGTGATCACCCAGGGCAGGTCCCATCAACCTCCCAATGGATTTATTTGAAGAGTCCCCAACTGGAGACTGCATATAGGGAGTCAAAGCCTGAAAACATAGCAAGCTTCTCAGCTTATAAAAAAAGCTTTGAAAAATTATACCAGATATCAACTTCGTATCAACATCATCCTAAAGTATATGAATCATCCAATGTATTTAAAATATGTTAAATAAATATTATCGATGACACTTATATATATTTAATGAAAATCATTACAAGCTTAACCTTAATAATCATAGTTGCTAATATGTATGATATTCTAGTTTCTGTACTTAAGCTCCCTTAACAATCACATGTCAAGTAACTGACAGATAATAGTAATTTTATGTTGTTTAGTTTACCTACCACATCAAATGAAACAGGGGGAGGGGAAGAGTTTCAATGATTCCACATGTTTTCCGGGAACTTTAATCTGAGCATCAGTCCAGTTATATGAAGAGTGGGTTTCTTTTTTTTTGTTCCGAGATATCATTGTTCATAATTGGATATAGAGTTAAGATGGAACCTCAACAAGTTAACTGTCACCATCAATAAAACAATCTCTTGGTGGGCAATAAGTAAGCATGGTTAATTCCTATTTGGAGTTAAACTAGGAGATAGATTAAACACGGGAATAAGATGGTTGGAATGGATAATGCAACCTCCCCACTGTACTGGACAATATGTAAGAATGGTTAATTTCATACATTAGTAAATCTGTGAGTGCATCCATTATCTTAATTAGAAGTATCAATTATCCAACACGAAACATCTACCTGCCACCACACTGACTCCACTATCCGAGAAAAGATCCATGATTCTACTCTTTCTAGAGCGAATATATAAGTTCCTGTCTCTTGCCAATCTTCAATAAGAGGCATAAAACCATTTACTGGTTTACCATTGGAGCTAGCTTTCCATTTCAGTGCCATAGACTTCCCATCATTTCTCTTGCCAGCACCATTTGATTCAGCCAACCTTTTAAGGGGACTAGCTAGACAAGAATTCCCAAAAGCTTGTGAAATTATCTCTCTCAGCACAATGACATTTGACAACCAGAAAGTTAACCTAAAAAACACACACAAAAACAAAAGGAGAATGTTTATCATTCATATTCAATATCAGTAAATGACAGAATTTTAATAAAGCACGTGTGCATACCTTGAAACATCATTACCACAAGACTTAGCAACCAAAATAAGGCCAGAAACAGTATTCTTGGCAATCGTTGCTCGACTTTTTTGGCTCCAATGCTTACAAGCATGTATGTAGAGCCTAGAAAGGCGCCGAGCAGGTGTGTGCACTTTGTGTGCTGAGCTGCCATGCTCCGGTGCAATAGAATAAAGTGACACTTCAAGAGCAGCAACTTCTCTAAGTTCCTCTTCAAGCTTTTCAATTCGTGATTCCATTTCTTCAATTCTTAATTTTGCCGCTGCCTCGTCTTCATGTTCACCATTTTCTTTAGCATTAACTGTTTCATGACTTTCATCTTCACTTTCTAAGCTCTGAGCGCCATTGGAGGATCCATCCACGATATCAAGTTCCTTGACATCCTGAACAGGTTTTTCATCAGCTTCAGAAGATTCTGATGAAACACTTACAGGAACTTTCACAGTCTTAGAACTGGTTGAGGATACATTTTTGTTAGTAACTTTGGAGGGCCCTTTATTTGAGTTCATAGGTTTCTTTTGATTGCTAAGTGATACCTTTGGTTGCATTTTATTTGTTTTTTTATCGGATTTTTCCCTTGATCCACGATTGCTTTCTGAAGGATTCACTTTAACCTTACTTTTAGGGTCTTTTGAAGCCTTTTCTTCTGTCTCGTCCTCATTTGTGATAGAATCACCTACGGAAGATACTGAATCCTTTACTGTCTCAGCATCTGATACTTCTTCATTCCCTTCCTTTAGCTCTTTCTCCAAATCACTAGAATGATCGTCAGCCACTTCATTTTTATTTTCATTAGCAACCATTTCATTAACTTTCATCTCAGCAAGTGCCTCCTCAGACCTGTTGACATCATCCACATAATGTATAACCACGTTTTCATAAGTTTCTGAATTCTCTGTGGCCGTGTTTGAATCACTTATAAAATTATTTGCACTTGGTCTACTATCCTTGGGTGTCTTAGATTCAGTTCCTTTCTCATTCAATGTTTTGGAAGAATTATCTTGATGCAATTTATTCTCTCTCCTTTCGGTTCTTCTTGAACCCTTTGTCTGACTATTCCTGGAAGCTTTTCTCTTCTCAATTTCTTTCATGCTTTCAAATTCCTTCAATAACAATCAAATGAAGATGCTGTGACAGGGGGGAATGATAGCAGTAACTAACCTTATCGAACTCCTTATGCACTAGTTCTGAAATCCTAAAGTACGTATCCACTAACAATACTTAGCTTCCACCACCAGAGAAGTGTGTGCAGAACTTCTCTGTTTCTCCAGGGGATCAAAACAACTAGTAGTAGTTTCTACCTGCAAAAGTAGTGATAAAATAAGTGGCTAGATTCTCAAAGAAAGAAAAAAAGTAAAAAACAATAAGAAAAAATCGCCAAAGGAAACCAATAAAGATTATCGGGAGGGGAAGGCGTATGAAGCATTCATCACAATGAGCATCAAAACATGTAATCTGTTTGAATGTACCAGCAGACACAGCCACAGAAGCCCAAAATGGGAAAACCCAGAAAGATGACAAGTGCAGAAAGTTCATTCATACAGCACACAATTTGCAATAATTGAAGGAGAACCAAGTTCAATTCAGGCCACAAAAATTATGCATAAAATAAATCAATACCTCATTTAGAAAGTAACTAATAACTATGGATTTATGAGGGTAGACAGATGCAGAAATCAAAATGTGAACATATGTGAATAATATCTAAATACGACATGAACAAAATTACAAAAGGCACTTATGCATTAATCCGAGCTCCTTCGTAAGCCTTTCTGCATTCATTTAGATCTTGTCCTCGCTAGTGAAATTGAAGTAAGTTCCTAAAATTAAGCAAACATTTCATCGATCGCTTCTTTGTTTTTTACTCTATGCAGAAGCAAAATATGCTTCTTTTCGGACAAAATAAAAAACAAAAAACACTTATTTGAAGTACCAAGTTGCATTAGAGTGGATTCGGAGTGACAGGGACTGGTGGTACCATGAAAATATTCTTAACAAAAGAGAAGAATAGCCAACCAAACAAGATGCGGCCATGTTAGGGTAAAAAATACAAATAAATAAATAAAAGAATCTCTCGATCGATTTGCGATAAACCAAACAGAAACCTAGAATTAGAGGGTGGAGAAATATCCTCCATCACCGACGTCATTACCAACAACACATCCAATATGCTAGCTGGCTATATTCCAATAATTTGAAGACCCCATATAACAACTGTCACTAATCAATCTAAAAATGTTGTCTTTTTTAACTATTAACTTTGACCAACCCAACCCAACCCATCAAAGTAAAATTAGGATCTAGTAGTGGAAGCTTAGGCATTCAACTGCTACATTTCCACCAAAAACAAAAACAACAACAGAAGGAAAAGGAAGTTACACGACAGTCGCATGTAATAACCAGAAGCAAAAATGAATAAATAAATAAATGAAAAGCAGAAAACGAACGAAGACCGAATGCATAAAGACAAGTGAATTCCGATGATTTATATAAAAAGACAACTCTAACCGCACCCAAAAAATTATACGTTTCTATAAGGAGAAAAGAACAAAAAGAAAAATGAGAAAATGGGAAAGTTCAGTAGTGAGAGAAAGTAGAAAACGAACACGATGTAGGGGATTGAGAGAGAGGAGGGAGGAGACAATGGAAAAGGAATGAGGTGAGTGTGTAGTGAATTTGGGAGTTTTGAGTTCGTGAGCGTATGGTACATTACTCACGTGAAACGTACAGAAAAAAATAAATAAAAAGAGAGAAAGCATAGAATAGAAGGAAGCAAAAGACGAGATCACGAGATCACGAGAGAGAGAGAGAGAAGAGTAAAAAGCTGTAACCGCAATGTAATAATGATGAACAGTTAAAAACGTTGGAATTGGAAGTTAAGTTACCACTCAAACACGCGGTTTTGTTGAAGTGATGGAAAGAATGGCAGACAAAGGGATCCTCGGGATTAGCAATGTTGTCACTCTTGTTTTGTTGGAAATTCAAACATTGATGAGTGATGAGTGGTGGTAGGCACTAGGCACTAGGCACTAGGCACTGGGCAGAGAAGAAAAGAATGCGGGAACGTCCTCGCAATTTAAAACGGAAAAGGGTAACCGGGAAAGGGTGTCGGTGAACCAAGGTCACCGGCTACTGCCAGTTATATTAGTCAACCTTTTCGTTGTCTCAATGGGTGCGATGTCATCCTTGTGGTTTTGTGGGGCCCTTTTCCTAATACGCACCCTCCTCTTTCCTTTTCCATTTTACATACTTTCTCCTGTTACCATTTAATTATTCTTACTTTTTCTAATCAAGACATTTTATTAATACTAGAGGATCCAGGCACAGTTTCATTACAATTTTTTTTAATATATTTTCTCTATTTTATCTTTTAATCATAAGGAGTTATTGAATAATTGAATGAATAAAAAAGTTTTTAAAAAAATTAGATGTATTTCTTTTATTAATAATTTATAAATTATTGAATCAATCAATATTTTATCTAATTTTTAAATCTTAATATCTTAATCTTGAATTTTATAAAAAACAATAATTAATTTTTAATATTATTTTTTGTTATTTAAAAATTTTAAAATAAAACAGTTCAAAAATTATATGTACAAAGATAAAAATAAAAATCATATAAATTATGTTTAAGGTAGACATTTCAACATGCTAACAAAATTATTTAAGCATGTTTTAAGTGTAGTTTTTTAGGTCATGCCATGAAGTATCAATAACTGAAACTTGAAATGTTAATTGATTCGCACATTCGGTAATTTTTAAAAATTGTGATTGATTTGAGCTCTAAAATGCTATTAAAGATTTTGTAGATAGAAAAATTAGAATTATGAAAAAGGGAGATGTTAGGTATCGTCCGATGTTAGGTAAATTTAATATTTTAATTTTCTAAATTTTTAGAGAAAATAAATAGTTTAAATGGTTCAATTTGCAATGATTTTAGATTAAAAAATGGATTTCAAAGTTTTTAGTAAATAAAAGATAAATAATACACAGAAGAGATCATGGAGAACGTGATTCGACAATTTGAGTTGTTGCAGCCTCTCAATAAGTGCACTTAAAGATACTCACATATACTAACATGTTTCAAAGAGGCTTAAGAAACACACTAGTTATATCTTCTTGATCATTGTCATCTTTGATGCGATACATGTCCATCCACTTTATACATAGAATCCTAGGTTATTATAATTTGAGTTACATGGTTAATGAAAAAGAATCGATGAGATCAGAAAGTTAACTCATCATTAAAGGTCGTGTTATCTAATTTGTAATAAAGTTCATCAAATTCAAGTTCATCATAATCGATCAAAATAGTTACACAAATTGATATAAAACTATTGTTCATTTATTATTTGCCTAGATATTTGTATCTGACTTAACACCAAAATGTCTTTTACAAATATCTCACTCCTTAAACTTGTTGATCGATCAGAAAAGACTTTAAAAGTTAAAAATTCATTAGTATATCTTCATATAAATACATATAAAAAAGATTAATTATTAAAATTTAGGTAAAATTATTAAAGAAATAAAATTACAAATTAATAGTAAAAAACTAAAAATATTAAACCTATTAAAATGATATCTGTTGTTTAAGGAATTTTCTTCAACCAATGTCGTACGGTATTTATTTTGTGGTAATTTCCTTAAAATGACATGAAAAGGTTAATTAATTAATTCATTATGGTTGCAAGGTCGTTTTCATTGGCTGCTCTCGTGTTCCATTTATTTGTGGATATGCTTCTCGACTTCTTCTTCGAGTTGCCTCTCTTTAGATTTTGTAATTATTCGTTAGGCCCCAAGAAGAACATAGGAAGTAGTTCAACAGCTGAAGGGTCAATTTATTCTCTTTACTTCTTCAACGACGTATTAACCAAAGCATTACTACTTATTACTTAGCAGTTTAGTAACGTTATTTTAACACTTTCCACTTCATGTTAATACATATCATTATGTTCTAATATTGGATGTATAGTGTCAAATTCCAAATTGATGAATTTGAATAATAAAAAAACCATGAAAACCACGGTTTAAACTATTATTGAAAGTTTTTATTTATTTATAATATTTCAGAAAAATTAACAGGTTAGTCCTATTTGTGTTCTTTAATTATTATTTATTACTTTTCAATTCTTTATTTTTAATTTATTTAATTTTGTCAAGTTATTAGTTTTAGGGACGATCACAATCCATTATCATAATTTACAAAAATACTACAATTGGAAAAAATGTCATGATTTATAAAAGGTCAAAATCTTTCACAATTAAAAGAAGTAAAGTGATAAAAAGATTTAAACAAAATGAAAAGTCAAAGAATTAAATTAAAAAATTAATTATTAAATTTCTAATTTTATTTTGTTTTTAACAGTTATATATTAATTCTCTGAAAATAAACATTTATATATTATCATATAATTAATGACAAGTTAAATAGAATGAGTAAAAAAATGCAAAAATGTCAAATAATTAAAAATGGAAGCAATTTGTAAGTTTTTCACACGTTGTACAAAATTTTTAAAATTTGAGTAAAATTTAATAATATTATGAATAAAATATAATCATTATTGTTATTATAGTGAAGTTATGTGTATTTGGAAGGAAAAAAAACATAATTCGAGACTTTTTTGTTGTTAATAATAATAAAATAAAATTATTGGTAAAATACCAATGAAACAATATTTCAGCGCAAAATATATATTATATGTTAAATTGAATTAATTTAATGACTTTTCTAATAACTTTATTTATATTATTATATACTTAATTTGATAATAGAGACTTTTAATTGAACAAATATATTAATAAAATTTAGTTCACACGTTATCTTTTTAAGTTTGTACAAATACACGTTAAAAAGTGTTTTTAAAAATTTTCTATTAAAAATAAAGTGTTATTTATAAATAAACTATTAAAAATACTTCTAAATTTGTAGTCAAATAAAATATATATAGAGAGAAGAGGAATCAAATGACACCAATGTAATTGTTAGATTAAAAATTTGTTAAAAATATTTTTAACTTTTAGAAAAAAATTTAAACGTTAAGTTTTTAAAAATGATTAGACAAAAATTTAATAGAAAATTTTGTTATTATCTAATAATTTTTATCAAATAATTTTTAAAAATTAATTAACACTTTATTTCATTAATTCAAATTAATAGATGATTATAAAAAATCATATGTTAATTTGAATTAATGAATGAAATATTAAATAATTTTTAATTTTTTTAAAAATTTGTAAATTTGATCGGTGCACTAAAAACTCTTAATTTAACGATTAAATCGTTAAAATTTGATATCAAATATGAATTATTGAGAGGAATAAGTCTAGGTTGACTTAGACTTATAATAAGTGGATCCTTCTTTTTTATTTTCTCTCTCTCTTTCTCTATATATAAAAAATGTTCAAACAATATCGGTGTAACTTTTACCAATTATTACATCACTTAATAACTTTCAATTAAATGTGAATTTTTTAAAAGTTATCATTAGATTGAAAATTCATTACTCTTATATCATATATACAAAATTTTATATTAATTAAAAATGATTCGATACCTAATTCTTATAGAATAAAATTAACATGATATATACATATATATATATATATATATATATATATACACACTAGAATATATTAAAATATAAATATTTTGATTACTTTTAAATTATTTTTTAATTTTAACAAAATTTAATATATCTATACTAATATATAAAGGGATACAATTTTCAGTATCCACTTTATAAAATTAGAAAAAATATTTTTTAATCAAATTTAAGAACTTGAAATTAATGAATTAATTATAATACCAATTAGATCAATATACTTTTATTATTTAATTTTTATTTTTATTTTTATTTTTAATAAAGACACGAAATGCCTCGACTCACTAGTACATATAAGATGATATGAAGTT